TTTTTTTTCCTTTTTTAGCTAGCTATTACCACATTATATGTAAAATTGCGAATAGGTATTTTTCTTCAGCAATTTGCCCTTGTAGATATTTTTGCACAAAATCGAACGAATTGACAGGTTGCTAGTGCGAATTGAAAAACAGATAATGTGCTCCTATTTTAAACACATTGTACGTATATTTCCACTTTGTTCACTTTTTGCAGTTCACCCCCTACACACTGCCCATTTTTATTCCCCTTTTCGAAGGTCTACATTTTGTTAATTTACCTATCATTATTCTACACACGTTGTTCACTATTTCCTACACACACGAACACTCGTATACGTACTGATGGCGCGAAAAAGGGGAAACATGTTACGCGTACAAAGCTCAACGGAAAAGAGTTTCCACACCGATGCGTACTTCGATTCCGCTCTGGATGTAAGCACACATAACGATGCTTCTATAAACAGTAATTTTTCCATGGGGGGGAACAGCCTTCCACGCATTTTGAAAATGTACACAAGAGAGCTGCAATGTTCTAGTGATGAACAAAAAAGTGACGGTTCTCATTTGAGGAGTGAAAATTTATTTCCGCAAAGAAATGAGCATGTCAGTGAGAATACATGCCTAACGAGCATGCTTCACCTGAGCGATGTAATTACATCACAGAGCGAAAACTTTACACGCCTGAACGGTGAACATTTAAATTGTTATCATTCGTCGGTAAATAGCAATGTCTCTCGCATCGAAAGTGGAGTTCGATCCTATTTAGGTTCATCACTATTAGCAAAATTTTGTTGCACAGAAGTACCGATCCATGAGGAAGGGAGAGCAGTAAACTGCGAGGCAGAACCAAATTATGCAGACAGCAGCGAGGCGGTTATTTCGACGAATGGTCAAAATCATGGCCAGGAGAATAATACCCAATTTGGTACTCCGAAAAATAGAACAAATAATGAAATAAAAAATATTCAGGCAAATGATTCCTTAGCTGAAGAAGATCATCTGAGTGCGGTGGGAACTTCTCCAATTTGCCTCCACATTAAAGAAAATTCGGAACATGGACAAGCTTTGTATGATAGTAAAAACCACGGAAATGGTGAATCGATCCCCTCCAGCAGAAGGTATGTTTTTTCTAGCGCTACAGGTGATCCCAAAACTACAAACACGTATCAGATAAGCCATCCTACCGTAGTGCCCAACCCAGAATGTGAAGCATATCTGAATGGCAGTCCTGAAAAGGAACAGTGTCAAGACAAATTACAACTGGCCGATGGTCATATAGACGAACGTATGATGGTATATTACGCAGATGAAGAAATGCAGGAGGGTAAAAAAACGTTTAACACAAAATTGAGTGCATTGAATGATGAAAATTTTGAGCTAACTCAAATTTCATGTAACAGTGGAACGCGCGGAATAAACCGAAAAAAACAGCATGGAAATGAAAAAAATTGCAATTGTGCGGAAGAAAAAAAGGACCCTTCAGCTTTACCTTTAAGTACGAAACCACGGAGCTACTCGCTAGATGATATAAGAAAAGGAAAAGTAGAAATTCCAAACGTTATATTTACGAAGCTACCCTTGAATTGCAACGGAGACAATGTCATAGATTCGTATAGGCGAAATCATAAACTGCTCAATTTTATGAAGGACTGCAACGAGTCAGTTGGTCTGATTTTAAAATACCCACAAATTGAAAGGAGTCAAAATAAGACATTCAAAGTAACATCGGAAATTTCCCCTGCAATTAGGAGCAATATCGGTTCGGCCATCATATATGAAGACAACTTTGACAGGAGGAACTATCACCCACAGGTTCAAAACTTACATATGGGGAAAATATACGAAAGTCATGTTTTTAATATATTGAAAAATAAAAAGGATTTGGGGAAAAAACTATTCAACCAAAGTAATACATATGAAAAATATAAATATAATAATACCAATGGCTTCTGGATAAGTAACTTTGACAAGAGACGCTTAGTAGACCCCGAAAGGAACGACAGCTACATTAC